AAAAAGGTTGGGCTTAAACAAGCATCAATACAACAACGAACTCAATTAAATATTTGAAGAAAGATCCTAGAAGAGGGATCTTCTTTCCTTCTAGTAGAGGGACAGTGCTTGAAAGGTATTGTGATTCTAATTAGAGAGCATGCATAGACACTTGAAGACCAGTGATAAGGTATGTTATTGAGATGGGGAGAGCAGCCATTGTGTGAAAGTCAAAGAAACAAACAACAGTGTCCCACTCTTTAGCAAAAGCCGAGTACAAGGCTTTTGGTAGTACTATGTCAAAAATTACATGGCTAGTTAGTTTGTTGAAAGAACTAAAGGTTGAAAATCTTCCCCTTGTCCTAGTTAAATGTGATGGTAAAGAAGCAATTCAAATTGCTTCAAATTCAGTATTTCATGAACAAACAAAGCATATTAAAATTGATAGCCATTTTATTTGCAAAAAGCTTCAAGAAGGTTTAATTAAATTCCAGCATGTATCTTCTTCATATCAGCAAGCTAGGTAAATATATTCATGAGAGAATGTTAGCTAAGTTTGGAACCATAAATATTTTGGTTCTAATTTGAGAGGATTGTAAAAAGTACCAATTAATGCTTATAATAATATCTTTGGATATTGTTTATCATTTTTATCTTGTCTGGGTTTGTTTTGCTCTCTAGGCCAGATATACATATATACTTTGTGCCCGTTCGTTATTTGTACGTTTTTGTTCCCAGAGTTTCATGAGAGACATAAGGACGACAGCGTAAAGAACTATTGAGTGGGCATTGGTACCGAAGACTGACATGGAGACGGCGAAGATTTCAATGCTCGTCACCATGTAAGCTATGTCTGTTTTGGACTTGAATTTTCTCCCTTCAAGGGAAGAAAATTCAATGCTCGTCACCGTGTAAGCTGTATTTTTAAAAAAGGAAAAATAAGTACAGATGTTAAATTAAATTTAATAATTTTTAAAAATACAGATTTAATTTAAATTATTCAGATTTGTAGCGGAGAGACAGTAGGAAAAAAAAAACATAAAGGAGAGAAACTCACTCCCCTTCGTTTCATAGCAAATTTTTTCTTTTTTATTTTAACAAGAAGTTATTATAATAATACTAATAATACTAATAATAAATAAATATTATAAAATTATTATTATAATATTAAGTAAATAAATTTAAATTATTAAAATTTGACCCACACAATTCATAACTATTATAAAAAAATTAGGAAAAAATTACACAATAGTTTAAAATAAGGGTTTTGGGTATAGTAAAATGGGCCAGTTGGGCTAGTTTCTCATAATGTAACAAATTAATATTTGAATTTAAATATTTATTAAAAGATGTATTTATATTTAATATCTAACATTGTCACAAATAATATTACCTCTAATAAATGGTCACCTATACACAAAAATCAAGAAAATTAAAGAAAATTACTATTCTAAATTTTTCAACATACTTTTAAACTTTGTATGTTAAAATTTATATTTGAACTAGTCAAATCAAATTTTTTATTTAAATTTATTTATTTAATATTGTAAAAATAATTTTAAAATATTTATTATTTATTATTATAATAATAACTTATGGTTATAAAAAAGGAAAGTAAAAAGAAAAAGTTTGCTATTAAACGACACAGCTTAAGGTGATGAGGATAGTGCCACCGAAACCAAACCCAGGGAGTGAGGGAGTGAGACAAAGCACAATGTGATGTGTCAACACATGGTCGTTAGATGAGGTTCAGCAATGAGCATCTCTCTCACCCCATGCCCCATCAGGAAAGCTTGGGACCCATTAACCATGTTGAAAAGTGCATTAATGCCGTGACATTTTAAATGTTTAAGGATAAAAAAAAATTAAAATTGAGTTTAGGACACCTATAAACTTTACATAAAAAATTCAATGATAAAAATAATTTATAATTTTATTATCAAATAATTTCCATTTTTATCTGTATAATTTTAATATTAAAATATTTTTGAGCAAATAAAGCAATTAACAGCTTTTTGTTTTAAATGTTTAAAACACATTATATAAGAAAAGAAAAGGGATATTAAAGAGGGAGAATTTCAATAAATGATCATGAATATGACATATTCAAGTCACTCTAAATAGATTATGAAATTTTACTATGGGATTAAGAGACTATGTAGAAATTATGTTTTAATAGAAAATTATTAAAATATCTTTTATTTATTTTTGAAAATAATTTAGTCACCATCACCAAAGGCTGAACCACTGTCATTAAGGCAATGGTCACAAAACTTTAGCACAGTTGCCAAAACTCTGACGATCAACCATTGGAAAATTAATTCATTAATTCTCCCAAGTTGGCCAAGGGGATTTTGATCCCATAATCCCTTAGCTTGGCAAAAATGAATGACCACCAAGCCACCCCAACTTCTTAATTGCAAAAAATTTTATATATATATATATATATATATAAACACTTCCTTCTTATAATATGAATATAACTTGTTAAAATCCTAACCTCACATTTTAAAACACTATCTCAACTTGTTATTTTAAAATAAACCAAGTTTTCAAACAAAAGCTAAAGTGAATACATAAAGTTAAGTAATTAACAAATCCTATTAAGAAATTAACAACTAAAATTATGTGATTAAAAAATAATGCAATTTGATTGAGGGAGTTATGGGTTTAACAAGTAAATTTAAGTAATGAACAAATTTTGTTGATGAATTAACAAGTTAGGTGATTGATAAGTAATACAATGTAATTGAGGAAGTCACAAATTTAACAAATAAACTAAGTAATTAATAAGTCCTGTTGGGAAAATAAATAATAAGTTACACAATTAAAAATTAATGCAATTCGGCAGAAGTCTAATGACCAGAGCCTCAACGTTGGCGGTGGGCCTTGGCCTTGGAGCAATGGTGTCTAAATTATTTTTAAAAACAAATAAATGGTATTTTAGTAATTCGCTATCAAAACATAAATTTCATTTAATCCATTGGCCTCAGTGAAATTTCAAAATCTATTAAGTGTGATTTGGAGATATGTCACATTCATGGTCTTTTATTGAAATTCTCTTTATTATGAAATAATTTTCAATATTTACCAAACTTTCCTTCTCATTCTTTTATTAATTTTACTCTATCAAACATACAAATAAAAAGATTATTGTTCCAAATATAGGGCCAAGAATACGAGATGGGTTTAACTGGCCACCAATTTAAGTTTTTTTTTAAATGGCTTAAGCTTGAAAAATTAAAAAAATTTGATATAATCAAACTTATAAATCTAACTATTTTAAGTGTAATAAAAATGGGCTTTGACATCTACTAAGTAGAAGCGATAATATGGGTTGAGTCTGCAGGCTTAACCCACCAACCCATAGAAAAGTTGCAGGTTGAATTAAGCAAAATGGATTCAATTATATGCAGGGTGGTTTTAGCCTGCCTCGCATAACTTGAACCCGCAGTGGGCTAACCCACGAGTTGTCAGGTTAGTCTGCTTATATTTTAAAAAAAAATAAGCAAAAAATAAATAAATGATATTGAGTTTAAAATAAATCATTTAAAGTAGGCGTACCTGACATTGTAATCTAAGTACTTGATACTCTTACATTTATTTAATTCAAGTTTAAATTATGGCAAAAAACATTAAAAACACACTGCTCATATATTTAAATAATGATATGATATAATTTGAATGTGACCAAGAAAAGATTAAATAGAATATTTTATTATACTCTACATCATTCATATAATAGCTCATTTATATTATCTAGTTTTCAAAATAGTGCTATCCAAGCTAGCAAATAAAAAAAAAGTTTAGTTGCTCTTTTTATTTATAAAATTAAACATATTTATGAAGTGGTAACCATATATTATATTATCATCTTAATTTGAATATTAAAAAAAATGGATACAGAGATATTAAAATGTTTATGTGGTATGAACTAAATGTATCATGAGTTGTGATCTAATAGACAGAGTTTAAATTATTATTATTTTCTTTAAAAAAAGAATTAATATTTTAAATTGGGGCATTAATTTTGTAGCAAAAATGCCAAAACAAAATGACTGGAAAAGAAGATAGATAAAGCATTTCTATTAATTCATATATATATAATACTGATCAATCATGTAAATGACTAAAGAATAAAAGGATCACAAAATTAAATTAGTTGATATTTAAGTGATGATATTAGCATGTGTTAATTAGAAGGACTTTTATTGTTATTTAAATAATTAATTTTTAGGAGGAATTTATGATTTTTTTTACCGTGACAAAAATTATAAAAAGAAATAAATTTATAATTTTTAAAATTTTAAAAAATTATTAAAAAAATGCCTTTTTACTTGTGAGTTGGCTCACTAACCTACCAACCCACTACGGATTGTATGGGTTGGCAAAATTCAACCTGCAAAAAACACAGGCCATGCCAACCCACCTTACCAACTCGCTACAAATTGACACATATTACTAGCTTGACTGCCAAGTATGCATTAATTTTTTTCGTTAAAATGAACACCCTTTTAATGAACTATATGAAAATGTAAATATGGAGAATGATGGCTCCGATAATTGTGTGGAAATTAGTACTACAGCAACGATTTCCTTTTGTTGTGGTTGTTTTTGGTTTCTTGGTCATGATTTACAGGCTAATGTCATCCTGATTTATTGAGGTAAGTCATCCTTTTTCCAGATTTGGTTCCTCCTTTTTAGAATTCAACCTTTTCTCTGCTCTGGACTGTAAGCAATTCAGTGATGGAGCTCACATTACCAACCACCATTCATAATATTCTTTATACGCGCGCAAAATCCCAGGTTTTAGTCATGTATCCCCAACATGTTAGCATAATGTTGAACTTTATTAATTGTCAATTTTGTGAAAACTAGATTTATTGACATGAGACTATAAGAACGGGGCACCCCGTTTCCGAGCTCTACCCATATCATAGCAGATGTAGTTTTGAACTATAAAATTCCATTTTCCCCCCTCAAATCAATCATCATATCTATTGCCTTCAAAATCTGTCCAGTCAGTCAAATGGGACCTTTCCACAAAATAAGTTTCCAGCCAAATAATTAGTTTGTATCATTTACAAGCACATATTCCCAATCCCAAGATTCCAGAATTTGGGTCCCACTTTATTCAATGACAATAGATAATTCAAATCCATCAAGATTACAATGTCCACAAGTTTCTTCAAGTTAAGAAGTCAACCTACCAAATTGCTGTAATGAGAGCTTCAAGCCCTCCTCTCTGGACATCATAACATTTTCACACTTTCCTAATTAGAAGATACAGTCTCTGGTCAAGCTCAAACTTGTTGCAATGAGAAGGGTCACCCACCAGCATCATTAGAAGCCCACCAAAAGATATGTATATCTCCCTGCAACCCAATTAGAAAACCCAAGTTAATTAAATGATCATATTCATCATTAAACATACGACCACTCCACTTCCAATTCCATCATTAAACGTGCGACTGCTCATACAACATACTCTCTCAGGTCCAAAATACAAGTACTTTTTAGGAAAAATCTGAACCGATAAAGTCTTTATTCTCATAAATATATTGTTTTTTCCCTTTAACCCTCAGTCCAAATTACTAATGCACTTCATGATAAGTGGAAAACAAATTTACACAAGAATCTAGGTTAATAAATACAAGCAGTAAAATGGAGAAAAAATTTTACATGTATTAGGTTATTTATATTTTATACCAAGATTAGCTAGAGAAAAATGCTTACACTTTGGACTGGAGGGAGTATGCCATGTGAAAATGAACCAATCCTAATGCATGACGTTGCACAATAAAACAAGAAACTAGATTTTTTTCCCGTGCATAGACAATAAACTGTGACAATACTTAAAGGGGAAAAAATTTAAAACTGAAAACTTTGGAAACAAAAACATGATTAAGATAAGGTGCAATTAATGACTTGCATGAGAAGTAAGAAAAAGAATATGCATCCATATATTTATATATATAGTCTTGTGGGAGCCAGTACGGCAGCACCATAGATAAGAACAGCACTAGCTCCCACTACTTTTAAAATCTTAGGCTACATATATAATTTTAAAATCTCATAACAATGCAGGACACTTTATAGTTGTTTTTTCTTTCTCTTTTTCTTTTTTTCTTTTTTTTGGAATCAGCACTGAACTTCTATTCAAGCAAGAAAAGCCAAATACAGGCAAAAGGAATACAAAGCGATTTTCTAGTTGTTAAAAAAAAAAAAGGTTAAATACGGAAGGACAGGTGCACTGAGTCTGAAGGAGGCCGAATTGGCACTATAAATATATGGCTATGGATATAGATATCATATCTCCAATTAGATTGAAGGGGCTAAGAGATGCCTAGCATAGTAGCATCAAGCCTCTAAATTGCTAAACCAGCAAAACAGGCCTCACAGCAATTCCATTTTTCAAAACCTGGCACTCAGAACTGGCAATAAATTGATGTTCAGAAACTAAGTACATACGCTTTGTCCTGTCCTGATTCTTCTGAAATTCTATAAAGCTTGCCATACATAACATATTCAAAATTGTCAGCCAGTGATTGTCCTTTGCCCTGAAAAGTGGTAGAAAACTTTGTAAGGAAGATTCGGCATTAGAGATTTGCCAGGAAACAGAAAAATATCTACAACTTACAAAATGAGAGAAAAATAAAGAAAAGATACTAGACACAGGTAAAATGGCATCATCTATCACTCTAATCATTCAATATAGTATGAAAGTATCTCTTGGTTCCATGAGAAATGTATTGTATAAGCAATATAATTTTAATCCTCTCAAATCTGATGTCATCAGTTCAGCAACAGCCTTGTAAGTTCGAACCATGGTTTGATGAACATTGACCAAATCTTGAAAAGATCTGAACTTCCTTAATGATACAAATCACAGGTCATCTTAAAAGATATTAGATGTTAATTTTCAAAAGCACTCCCATTGCATTTTTCTTTTAAACATCAGCTAAAGTCAATGTAAACCTGAGTATAAAACAAGAGTGTAATAAAACTGACTTCAAGCTACTTAATATTTGAGGGAATTTCATTTACAAGTGGTCCTGTAAAACAAAAATCAGCATATTCAACTCAGGAGAGGAAGCCTGAAATTCTTACTCCCCTCAAGCTTTGAGTAAAGTAAAATTAAGAAATAGCACTATTGATTGGTGCTCATCAAGATCAACGCATGTAATACATCATAGCCCTAACACAAACTTGTTATTAGCTTTTGGTCAATATATCAATCTTATGATGTTTATCCAGCAAAGCATTACGAATGTTTGCTGGAAAAAAAAAAACAGTTTTTTGGGGGTAGTCATGTCAGCAATACACACACACACACACACACAGAATCTACTCATATGACCATGCAGAAACCAAGCTCTTGCCATATAATTAACGACAAATAAGGAAAATACAAAATAACCAACACCAACAAAGACAAGAACCTTCTATTAAAGTGTGCACAAAATACCAATAATTATGTGTAAATTAGTTTTCAATGGTAAAATGAAATTAGTGACTGTAAAATATGAGATGAAATACCTGCACATAGTAGCCAGTGTCTGGCGTTCCATCTGGGTTAAGTGTTGGGACCAGTAAGAGGGCAAATTTTTGACCAACTTGTAAAGGATATATTTCGGAATTGATGTCTAGATGCATAAACATGTCAAACCTTTCACTTTTTGCTTCAACACGTGTAACTGCCAAAGGTAAAATACATGGAAGTATAAGAATAATATGTAAAGCACTAATTTGTGTTTCAAGTAAGATGAGCATCAGAAAGTGCATCAACAGAATCTTAGATTGGTCAAATTATTTAGACAAGCTCTTTTAGAAATGTTATCAGTGCTTGGTATAATATCTATTTTTATTTTGGTTCCATAAGTATCTTTCTGCGATGAGTTCATTTCTTTGATCATTTTCCTCCTAATTTGTCCCCCATTTCTTAAATTGTGTCACATCTAACCTAAATCATCAATCCTGTCAATCAAGCTAATAGCCCTGAACAATGGAGTTGACATGGCACCTATCTGGCCGACATGATCTTTTCCATTCTAATCTTACAGAAATAGCTTAATATTGGACAAGAACATGACAAAGTGAGACAACAATGAAGCACCTTGAAACCCACAATTCCAAATTTCTAAAACCAAAATCTAGGTCAACTTGAGATGATAACCTTTACTTGGTCAGTAAGACGCTGTAGTTAAAGTTGGTCAAATAATTTATTGCCGCAGTCAAGCTTACACCAGCTGAAAGTAATGTTACCATGTTTGGTTCAATTGATCAAATGGAAGCCGGTGATGCTGCTAATCTTACCCAAGAGGTTAAACAAGTAACTTGTTAAGAATGCTGGGTATTTAAAGTAGGTAACACTCCATTTGACAAATGGCGACTGCTTTCATCTAGAGGCCTGGTAATATTAGATTGATGAGTAGTTAATCGTTATTTGTTACATGTGATTGGTATTCTAACCGAAGTAGTTTCTAGCTTTAAGGAAAAAGGCCTAGATAGCATATGTGGCAACATACTTGAGGGGAATAAGCGTAACCCCAAAATTTGGCTCATCAGGTTTAGGTGAAGACAATAAAACTGAAGGTGTGCACACCTGAAATCAGAAGAAAGTGAACCCATCATATTTGATAATGCACTTAAAGTCACGCTATTTCTATTAATATTAATCAATATTCCACCATTATTAAAGGATCATTGCAATGTGTAATGAGTATATCAAGGTCAATCATACTTCCTTGCTCATTACTCTTCATGATTGCAGAATTGCAATTAAAATATCAAAATCTATTTCCACACCAAGAAATGTATTAGGAAGGACATTAAGAAGTGAACTTAGGTGCCGTGCAAGCTTTGTGAGTGCACAGGAAGAGGTGTTTATTGTTACTAGAAATCAAGTTTTACTATCCATAAGCTCTTTTTCCTTGACAGGAATGATAGGGTTTCAAGGCGTGAGGCTATCATCATATTTTTCTGCCTATGTCTAAAGAAACAGATAGCAAGTACGAATAGAAGAGGGATGACCACAAACTGTCACAAGCACTTGACCATTGTGCAAAAAACAGAGAAAAATAAATATTATGTAGAAAAGTAAATAAACTTATGCAGAAAAATAATGGAAACCCATAAAAGACATACCTTTATCAAATGCTTTTTTGCCCTCTGGGGGATTCAATTGATCCACCCTAAATATGTCATCAAAGAGAACCTCAACCATCTTAGGAGCAAATTTAACCCTCAACCAAGCGCAACTGATAACGAGAAAGAGAATAAATAAAATAAGGTTAGAAACTAACCAAACAAAAAAAAATACTGGGGAAGATTAAAAGGCGCTGGTATTACAAAATAATTGACAGCGACGCACATCATGGTAAATATGTTCGAAGATGAAGATGATCCAAACAAAACAACCAAGGAGGTCCGAATCCGAATAATTGACCAACAACTTAAAAAATTCGAAAAAATGGGAAGAGTTTGGCATTTAATTAAGCATGGATCTCAGTTAAGCAGAAGACCTTCAACGATGTGGGGTGTGGGGATTCAATCACTTAATCCATATCGACTCGTACCCAGAGCTCAGATTGTGGAAAAATTATTTATTTATTCAGCAAAGTCAACCAGAAGAGGGAAGACAACGAACCTGGAGCTGAAGCAACGTGACAGACGGCGAGAAGCACACGAAGCAGAGGCGATGTGCAGAGAGGTGAGCGGCTGAGTTCAGCGACTGAGAGAACGATGGGCGAACGCGAATTCAGCGACTCAAGCGTCAAGCAACGCGAACGGCGACTCAATAGCAAGACTGGGTTCAGCCTCGGAGCAACGGCTAGAGCCAAGCTTCGAACAAGAGTGAGGTTCAGAGTCCAGATTCTCTTAAAATGCATACAAGGGTTTTCTAATTTATTTATTTATTTTTTCTTTGGTTTTTAAATATTAGAGGTTTTTTCTTTGGTCAAAAAACAAAATAAGAGGTTTTTTTTAAAACAAATTGCCCCTAACCGAACTCTTTCCCATAAAAAAGGAAGACACACGAGCCCACAAGCACATTAATATTGACATCGAGTCAGGACTTCTTTCAAGAGAGAAAAATAGCATTGCCATTATGACAATTAACAATTGACAAATAAAAGAAATTACCAACATATTTTTTAATAAATAAATCATTATATTTTTATTATATTAAAAAAAAAGATAAGTACTCCAAAATTTACATTAAAAAAATTATTTTTTATTTATAATAATTAAGGGTAAAACTGAAATATTAATATGTTTTTAAGTAAATAATAAATTTTTATTAATTTACATGATTTAATTAAAAATATATGTTAGAATAAATTAGTCCAATGCTCGTGAAAAATTTATTAATCACAAATCACGAAAAAAGTTTCTCAAAATTTTGGAATGTGGTCTATTTTCAATCTGTTGGTGTGCGATTTTTTCTTTTTATCCTTAAAACAAATAAAAAAAACTCATGTAACATAATAGCAAAATTCCCATAACTAAATGACTATAATCATGGCATATTTACAATCACATATTGCTTCAATATTTGAATACTTCATTGTCAACTTAGTGGATATAGTATATTTCAAATTTGAAAATAAAACTAAGATTTCAAATTTAAGGAGAAGGGGTTATTTTATTATTTTAATTTAACTTAAATATTAATCTAGTCACATTGCAAAATATTTAAAATGTTAGGCTATTATCTTTATTTGATTCTATTAGATGAGTTATTTGTGTAAAAGTCCCAATATCTTATATATGAAGAACCATGTGTTTGGATTAAAAATTCACAAATGAGTTTACTAATGTTAGGAAAATAATATTAGAAGAAAAGTATAATATAACGTAATCTATATTTGAATTTTATTTTTATAAGTCAAATTACACAAATTAAAATTTATTTAAATCATTTACCAACAAATTTAATTTTCATAGTAAATCCTTGAGGATTTAATTTAGAGGTTCCCAATTCGATATTCAAAAAAAATTGTTTAAATGATTTGATTTAAAAGCTTGAGATATATAATGACAAAAATAAATTTGAATTCTTTTTATATATTGTTTATGATTAATTTGATTTTTTAAATGAAAAATATTAAAATTTTAAATAAGGATTTCATACATAATTTATTTTTTGTAAATTATAAAATTTTAAAGAAGTCATTCTAGATCCAATGGGAAGTCTAGAAGTACCAAAAATAAATAAAAAAGTTATTAGAAAAAATTGAAATGCAAATCAGGCAAAGAATTTAAGTTCTTTGTCCAAACCAAAAAAAAAAAACAGAGAGAGAGAGAGTTTAAATTCAGAAATATAAGACCTCTTTAGCAATCTATTTTTAGAATATTTTTCTATTCTTTAGAATTAAAAAATAAAAAAAATCTATTTAGTAACGTATTTTTAAAAAGTATTTTAAAAAATAAAAAAATTAAATATTATTTTAGAGAATAGAAAATCAAAATATCTTTTAGGTCTTTTGAAATTATTGTTCTGAAAAATAAGAAAGAATGCAAAAAATATCTACTTTTATGTTTTTTGTTTTCAGAACGTGTTTTATAAAATATTAGTTCTCCAAAATAATAATCCCAAAATACCTAGATTGGACAAAGAATATGATCAATGCATGGTTAGAAAAAAATGGAGAATGACAAAGAGGAACCAAAATGACCAATTAATTCAAGTAGGTCTCAAGTGCCAAACTTTAAAAATTTTTTAATTCGGCTCTCAATTTTACAACTTAATTGTGATAAATTTGCAACTTGTGTTCTAAATTTTAACAAGAAAAATAGATTTTTTTTATTCTTTAACCATGTTAAAATTTAGAAAATAAATTGCAAATGCATTACAATGATATTGCAAAATTGAAAGACGAACTTGCAAATTATTGAAGTTTGACACTTGAGACCTAACTTAAATTAATTAATTTTTTTGGGACCTCTCTATCATTAAATGCTGTCAAAGTTGTAGAAGCCAAACTAAATAGCTTCTTGTCTAATCAAACTTATAGGATAAAAGCTCTTTTTACATTTTTTTTTAAACCAAACAAAACATAATGAGTTTTTTAGACTCAAACTAACGTTTGAATTATCCAAACCTCAATTAGAGTCTCATCCAAACATACCTTAATCTTTCCGCATTCAAAGAGCACCAAAAAATGATAAGGCTTTAATCTGTAATTTGACCTTGTTGACAAAAAAAAAAACCTTCAAAATGGGGGAGAATTTCAATTAAGGACCATGTTAGCTTCTTATTTGCCAATCAGGCAAGGTCGTCGAAGCCCTTACTGCCAAGGAATCACCAAAGCTCCGACACCGATGACATTTTATTTGAGAACTGAGATTTTTAGGTAATCAAGGATGAATTTGATCCCATGATGTTTAACAAATAAAATAAGTGAAGTTTTGAAATTCTCAATTTATAATTTTTCATGTCAAATTAACAATTGACATTTATAAAATAACAATAATTCATTTAAAATTAATAAGAATCTTTTATAGTTTTAACAAGTTATAAAAAATGATAGGAAAGGCTTAATTGTACGTGTTAGTTATTCACTAACAAGTATCCATTTAATTTTGACAACAGTACATTGGGACGTTTAACAAGTAAAATGAGTGAAGTTTTAAAGCCCCCAATTTGTAATTGTCCATGTTAGATTAACAAGTAACATTCGTAAAATAACAAGTTTCGTTTAGAAATTAACAACACACATTAGGTTATTACATGAAAGTGACTACTAAGCTTTTTAGGTGGCCAAGGATCATAAGATCAAACCCACCCTTGACTACCTAAAAACCTCAGTTCTTAAATAAAATGTCACCAGCGTTGGAACTCTGGCAATTGGCTGTTGGTGACCCTCCAGTAGCAAGGGCTCGGGCAGCCTCGTCACCGACGGTGGTCCAATGACCAGTGCCGGCGACGACAATGGCAACGGTAGGGGTTCTTTTTTTTGTTTTTTAACTATGACGGACATATCAATCTTTTCGCCTATGGAATTAATATGTTAGAAGGACCAGATGGCTGCAATGCTATTATCAAATCATTTAGTCCTTATGGGATCTAAATATTATACAGTGGTCCTTGGATACTATTTTCCTAATTTTAAATAGCTCCCACTTCTCGTGAATATACTCCCTATAGTAAACACCTTCTAAAAGCAAAATCTAGTCCATTTTATAAGTTATTAATTGATAGGATTGTTTTTTTAGTAAAATTCTCAAATTAGCCTTGAAAAGTAAAAGAGATAGAGAAAGACAAAAATAATATTACATGGCTTTTTTTTTTTGTTCACTTGAGGGTTATGTTTGGAATTTCACTCACTTGTATTCCTTATACTTTTGTTATATTGGTGTTAATGAGGCTAATAAAAATGACTTATAAATAAGATTGAAAGAGTATAATGAAAAGCAATATTGAAAAGATGAAATGGTTCCAAACCTCCAATGTAAAAGCACAGTAGAAGTAACTCAGTTTGCAAAGCTTCTTTAGACAATTGGAGACCAATTTCTATCATCAAATGGAAACCCCAAAATGGCATTATCCAATAGGGAGGAGAATCAGTGTCACATTTCAAAATGAGTTTGCATTGCACCTGTAAATGCCATGGTGCTGCACTTCCAATTAAAACCTTGAAGTTTTTTTTCCCATTCCTCTCAAAAGTTTTGATCAAATTTTAAAGGGTTTGGATTTAACATTTTACAAGATGGTACACTCTCAAAATATATGATTTGTTTGGATGTGTGATTTTACAAAAGTAGAAAGTGGCTGGCTTTGTTTCAGATATATAAGAAAATTAACAAGTAATATCAGAAAAGTTGTCAAACTCATGAGTTTAAGTAAACTTATAATAACAATATGAATCTGTAATATAAACTCGTATTATAAACTTGTAAGAATTTACCTCTAATAATAAATATTATTAAAATGAATAATAACATATTTAGACATAATATTTTAATAATCAATTTTACCTAAATGTAATCCAAAGTATAATATTTAAGAATAATACACACCACACACACACAACATAATTCATAATTCTTGAAATAAAATTAGCAATAAAGTTTCTAACAAAGTCATTCAACCTAAACAATTATAAAGCATAGTAATCTATATTAAACAAAGATCTTCAAACCTTCTATGGTTATCATCTTCGTCATCTTCAAATTTTTCATCAACATCATCATCTCCATCTATATCACCACCAATAATATTAAAATCAACTCCAAAATGATCACCACGCTCTATCATCGGCTCATGAGTAGAATTATTAATATTCTCATGACTTCTTATGGATTGCAAAACATCACCCTCCTCCATGTTGCAAATATCTTCATTATCCTCCATTATATTATCCATTCATCATTTGAATGAATATCATCAAAGTTATAGGCATAAGATCTTCTATTCTCCTTGCTTTTTTGTTTCAAATTTCATATTACAAACGCTAAGTCATTCATCTTTTTTGATGCAATCGATTTCTTTTTTTTTTGTATAAATCTAAAACAAAACAACTTCATCAATATTCTAATATTTAATATAATAATGTAAATGGCATTTTAAAATTTATAACCTACCATCTCAAAAGCATCCTAATTATGTTCATGTCCCGAAGAGCTACAACATAATATAATAATGTAATTTTTTTTAAGTTCAGATCAACCATCCCCATAAGAATTCCACCATTCTATCAGAGGCATTTTTGTTCTTACAACTTGTGCACTACCATGTCCAAACATGCCTCTCGCATAGTAGAAGTCATTTAATTGATACTCAATATTGTTTCTCTTTTTTGGATCTTCAACCATTTTTGAGAAGCAACTATGCAACCCTTCTTTAACACAATAATCAGCTTTAAAATCATAG